TCATCCGGGATTTCTCCCGATCTCCACGACTTTTCAAAGATAATAGCCAAAGGCTCCACAATGACATTTGCCAAGTCCCTCAGTACCCTCGGATGCACTAAGTCTGGACCCATGGATTTATGTACGTTTAGCTTTTCTAAATAGTTCCTAACCTGTTCTTTATCCACCACGGGCTGTCCATCTTCATCCCATCTTGCATAACTTGGCGCAGAAGTCCAGGAGCTGACCTTGTCCGTGAATACAGAAGCAAAGAAAGCATTGAGTACTTCAGCTTTCCCCACATCATCTGTCACTAGGTTACCTCCTTCATCCATTAGGGGCCTGTAACGGGAGAGCCCGTCCTGCTCCCCGTCGTCTCTGCTGCCCCCCCTTCTACGTAGTCTCCCTCACCACTTGTGCTGCCCCACTTCCCTCCTTCTCGTGCTGCGTGCTTCTCCCTCTGTGTTCTGTGCCTCCTCCTCCGCTGTCTTCCCCTCCTCCTCTGCTCTTCCCTCCCTCTCCGCTCCTTCCTCCTCGTTGCTCCTCCGTCCCTCCTCTGTCTTTCCCCGTTCCCCTTTTTCAAACCCCCCACCGGCGTCCGGCCCTGGTGACGTAAGACGCCATGTCACCAGGCCCCGCCCCCGCCGTGCGTCCGGGTCCGATGACGCCAGACGCCACGTTACCAGGCTCCGCCCCTGCCTTGCGTGGACGTCCTGGCGTCGCCCCGCCCCCGCCGCGCCGCCCGTTATCCGGGCCGCGGCAGAGGAGCAGGCCCCGCAGTGCTGCCGCGCTCCCTGGGTGGCGCCCAGGAGAGCCAGCGCGATCGCGGGCTGAGTGCGGGGCGGGCCGCTGGGTGGGGTGTGGGGGCGGCGCGACCCGTCACACTTGCTATAGTCTTGGCCTTCCCAATATCATCTGGCAAGGACTTCCACAGGCTTACTCTGTGTGTGTGTGAAAAAATATAAGTATTTCACCTTAGAAAAATCATATAATCATAGAAGGTTAGGGTTGGAAGAGATCTCAGGAGGTCCTCAACCCCCTACTCAAAGAAACATCAACCCTAACTAAATCATCCCAGCCAGGGTTTTCTAAATCCCTTCTATTTAATTCTACTTTCATTGGCAACATTTCTGAAAGTTGATTCATGTGGTTCTTACAGCACTTTAAATATTTGGAAATTAAATCAGAAATATTGATCTCTAGACACAACTTCCAATAAGGCAGCAAAAAGGCAGAGTGTAAACAGAAACTAACCTGCACAACACACATGCTCTGAAGTTGCCAAGAATAGGACTCAAACTCACAGTGCATTGCATGATGGCCAGGTTCAATGGCCATATAGCATACCACATTGAGCCCATGCAGTTATTGGCATTAGGCTATCTGCAAAGCCTGCCACTTGCAACAAAGACCCAATCTTGCTGCACATGCATTTTTCACTCTCATTGGCAAATCTGTTTACCTTAAGCTGAGCTGGAGTTACAAACTTAACCTTCAATGGCTTTTGAAATATTGCTTCGCCTAAAGGTCAATGAAAGTCATGAATTAGAGTTAAGACAAATCTTGAGTGAGTGAAATCAGTTTGGGGAGGATCATAAGTACAATATAAATCCCAACTGTGCGTAAAAAAGTTAGAAAAAACAGGTGATATTGTAAAAATTCATTTAGGAAAATTATATAGCTGGTTAACTCCCTGCTCATGTTAGCCCTAATTTGGATTTTAACCTTACCCCACAAATCCAGAAGACACAGCAAATTTCAAGACAATCCAATTCAGCACTTAGAATTCCAAAGCACTCTCACTTTACAGTGACAGCCACATACTGTAGGAGAAAGAAAGGACCTGAAGCATGGGTTTGGTGTAAGGCTAGAGGCCTGAACCAAAGTAAGCCTGAGCTATACTATGAGTAACAGACAAGTCCTGTCACAAGCAGATGTCTGTCTGCAAGTCAGTGTCCAGGATATGAACTCGACGCTGTATGTGTGAAAAAATATATGTAAATATATTCCACCAGGACAATACAAGGACTCCCCAACCTAGCACACGATAAAAGAATTTGACAAAAGTGATGAATAGTGATATTTTGTCTGGAACATCAGAAGTGAAAGCACAATAACAGGTAGTGAATAAGAATGGTAAACATGTCATTAACTCATAAGATGATACGTAAGGTGAATATCATACATTGTTTGCCTCAGTCTATAAACGTTGGGGTACTTTGACTTACCTCTTTGTCCGGCCTAGACAGCAGTTGTGAATCCCATGCTACTGACTGAGCTGAGTCCATTGTAGTGATCATACATTTGTTAGCTAACTGTAGGCATCTGATTCGGGGAAGCGAGGACCTTGCTTTGTTTACAATAAATCTGACTAAGATGCCTTCTTATCTTATTTGATTTTGTGGTTCTAGAGGGCTCTCTCAGCATCTGTTGTGCTGACTACTTGTGCAAAGCCAGCACGACATACAGAGGGAACACACAAACATGCATGCAGCCAGTTGACACTGACAGAGCAAGATACCTGTCAGGACACCACACCAGCACCTTCTGAACAACTGCACATACTATAATGTTATCAATGTACAAGAAAAAATAGAAAGGAATTGACAAATAAGTATTCTCTAACTATAACACAAACCATGATGTGAGATTAGTCCTTACCTGAGAAAGGTACATCTCTCAGAGCAGTAGCAGACCAGCCCCTCCAGAGTGAAAACCAACCATCTTTGGCTATTGTATTACTTATGCATATTTGCAATTGCTTATAAGATAACCGTCGAGCCTGCATTTTAGTTCTGATCAACTCCACTGGACTTACTACAGTTAATGAACCTACTGAAAATGAGAAAAGATTAAGTTTCATTAGTAAGACTTAAAGAGTCAATTCAGTTAACAGAACAATATTTCAAACAATCCAACTTTTCCAACACCATATATTTTTGGTCTGAATATCACTGGGCTAGCAGCTTCCACATGCTAGCAGCAGCTGTGCTCTCCTTTGCTAGCCCTCAGGAAAGAGGTATCCGCAAATCCCACCACTGCTGGTTGCAAATAGTGCCAATTCTCAGTGCCATGGCCCTACATCTTAATCTGAAGTAGGGATGTGAAGGACTAGTCGACAGGCTAGTCGACTGGTCACTTCCGCACTCCTCGTTGCTGCCTCTATCAGAAAGACCCTGGGCTCCATGTGGCACTGCCGCTTTGAAACACTACGTGCAGTCCAGGGCCAGATGGGGTGATTCCAGGCTGAACAAAGCCTTTCAAAGCAACACTGACAAGTGGATCCCAGGATCAGCGGGGGAGTCCACAGCTGATCCTAGGCTCTGTGTGGCACTGCTGCTTCGAAACGCCACAGGGAGCCTGGCATCAGCCTCCTCGTGGCATTCAAAGTGGCAATGCTGCACAAAGCCCAGGATCAGCTGGGGACTCCTGATCCTGAGCTCCACGCGTCGGTTTCACCTTTGAAGTGTAGCAACAGCCATAGGTGGAATCGCCTTACTGACTAATCGATTAGTCAATGAAAAATGCATCGACTATTCAATTAGTCAATATTTAACATCCTTAATCTGAATGCCCTCCTCCTTTTCTCTCAGCAGGCCACACTCACCGTGCCTGGGTCTGGAGAGCAGTGCTATGCAGAAGCACGCCAAAGCTTACGTATCAATAAGCATGTATTCTTAATTTTTTTTAAGGGAAGGGAGATTTGAAAACTATATTTTCACTTCTGTTGGAACTATAAATCCCAGGATACAGCTATCTCTGTTTTGTTTGTAGCTTCTGCTATTGTAGCCTTCTGCACCCATGAAACGCTTGATTCTGATGAGGAGAAACAGGATTAAGGAGGGATGTTCAGCAATATCATGCAGGCTAGTAATGCACCAGAAAGCTAAGAAAGGAATTGCAGAGCCAGCATTGTAGATGATATACAGATTACGCTTCACATATACTGATCTGAAAAAACCATGTGTCACGTTACTGGACTTTGAAAGGAGCAGCCAGATCACTGCTGCACCCATGGGTATAATGGTATAAAAGGGGGTATAAAAGGGGGTCATGTGAGGTGCTGAATAGGAGCTTACTGTCTGCTAATCCTATGTACGCTAGTCATGTGATTGTATAATTTCTGTGTGTATAGTTAGGAGTCTGTAATCTGTGCAGATACTGAATATTTCTCTGCATGTGGTAGAGCAATGGGCAGAGCCCAGCCTATGGACATGCTAATCAGTGAGGCCCTGTGGGACAATGGCACTCAATGGGCCAAGGACACACCTAAAGAATGAGTGGTGACTCATACCTAAGGGCTACCAGCAGGGGACACAGGAATAAGCTGTGGGCCAGGTGACCTGCTGTAGCCAAGAAGAGACCAGGAAGGAGGGATAAATAGGCCATGTGGTGGACTCCATCTTGGTCTTCAGCTCAGCACTTTATCCCAGAGGCAGCAGTGCAGGGATCGAAAAGCCAGAAAGAACTGTAGACCCATCCTGATCCTAGGATGCGCAACAAGGACTCTTAAGACAGCAGCTGTAACATCTCTGCTAGAGCCTGCATCGAGGACTGGGAGATTTGATGCATGTAATGTATGATTCTTTAGCAACCTCACTCTCATGCTTTTCTTTCGTGTGCTAATAAACCTTTAGAGGATAGATTCTAAAGGATTGGCTCAGCGTGATTTGTGGGTAAGGTCCAGAGGGTAAATTGACCAGGGATCTGTGGCTGGTTTCTTGGAACCAGACAGAACTTGTTTGGGGTAGGTGGGATTGGGTGCTAAGACCCCCCCACACACACCTGTGTATGAGGCCTGGGGCCACCTGGGGCATGGATATTTCTGGGGTGTCGGAGGGGTTTTCCTCGTGAGGCTTCAGGCAGGCTGCTGAAGCGCTCTGTGAGACTGGTTTGTGGCCTGTTTGGGAAGGTCACCAGTCTGGGGGCTGTAAGGAACCCCGGATTTGAGTAATTCGCCCTGAGCGGACGCCCTCAGCGGTGCCCAGACCAGCCCAGTCTGTCACACCATGATTGGAGTATGTGTATTCAAAATAGATTGCATTTGTTAAATAAAATGGATTAAAATTTTTGCTGCCATTCTAATTTTAAAATTCTATTCCATTAGAAATGTATTTTTATTTGCACATTTGTTGCTTTTTTGTTTTCTTTTGTTTTCTTTTTTGTCACTCAAATTTCTGTTTCTAAAAATAAACTCATCTTTATCAGTTCACCGCATGTACTGCTGAATGCATACTCAAAGCATCCAGTACTCGTAAGTGTACAGCACCACAGAATTCAGAGATTCAAAACACCCAGTCATAAACACCTAGTCATATGGGCACATGTACAGCAAGCAACACAATTAATATCTTTGGTAAAAGACACAGGCTACTATTTACTGATATACAGCAATCCAAATTCTTAACAGTTCACAAACTTTCACACCAGAACACAGCCCAGAACACCACCACTAATTTGGCTGTTCTTTTCATAGTCTCCTTGAACCAAAAAAGCTGCACACTGAATTCTTGTAATGGCCTTTCAGGATGGCTTTTCAAACACAGCAGACAGGCTCTTCACCTCCATGGCAACTTTCTCCAATTTGAATAATAAAATCACAGAATACTAGGACTGGAAGGGAACTCGAGAGGTCATCAAGTTCAGTCCCCTGCCCTCGTGGCAGAACCAAGTAGTGTCTAGACCATCCCTGATAGACATTTATCTAATCTACTCTTAAATATCTCCACAGATAGAGATTCTACAACCTCACAGTGTTTAAACACTGACAGTTAGGAGGTTTTTCCTAGAGTTCAACCTAAGCTTCCCTTGCTGCAGTTTAAGTCCATTGCTTCTTGTTCTATCCTCAGAGGCCAAGATGAACAAGTTTTCTCCCTCCTCCTTACGACACCCCTTTAGATACCTGAAAATGGCTATCATGTCCCCCCTCAATCTTTTCTTTTCCAAACTAAACAAGCCCAATTCTTTCAGCCTTCCTTCATAGGTCATGTTCTCTAGACCTTTAATCATTCTTCTTGCTCTTCTCTGGACCCTCTCCAATTTCTCCACATCTTTCTTGAAATGTGGTACCCAGAACTGGACACAATACTCCAACTGAGGCCTAACCAGTGCTGAGTAGAGCAGAAGAATGACTTCTCGTGTCTTGCTCACAATACACCTGTTAATGCATCCCAGACTCATGTTTGCTTTTTTTGCAACAGCATCACACTGCTGACTCATATTTAGCTTGTGGTCCACTCTAACCCCTAAATGCCTTTCTGTCGTATTCCTTCCTAGACAGTCGCTTCCCATTCTGTATGTGTGAAACTGATTGTTCCTTCCTAAGTGGAGAACTTTGCATTTGTCCTTATTAAACTTCATCCTGTTTACCTCAGACCATTTCTCCAATTTGTCTAGATCATTATGAATTATGACCCTATCCTCCAGAGCAGTTGCAATCCCTCCCAGCTTGGTATCACCTGCAAACTTAATAAGCGTACTTTCAATGCCAGTATCTAAATCGTTAATGAAGATATTGAACAGAGCCGGTCCGAAAACAAACCCCTGCAAAACCCCACTTGTTACACTTTTCCAGCAGGATTGAGAACCATTAATAACTACTCTTGGAGTACGGTTATCCAGCCAGTTATGCACCCACCTTATAGCAGCCCCATCTAAGTTGTATTTGCCTAGTTTATTGATAAGAATATCAGGCGAGACCGTATCAAATGCCTTACTAAAGTCTAGGTATACCATATCCACTGCTTCTCCCTTATCCACAAGACTCGTTATCCTATCAAATAAAGCTATCAGATTGGTTTGACATGATTTGTTCTTTACGGATCCATGCTGGCCATTAACTATCACCTTATTATCTTCCAGGTGTTTGCAGATGAGTTCCTTAATTACTTGCTCCATTATCTTCCCTCGCACAGAAGTTAAACTAACTGGTCTGTAGTTTCCTGGGTTGTTCTTATTTCCCTTTTTAGGGATGGGCACTATATTTGCCCTTTCCCAGACTTCTGGAATCTCTCCTATCTCCCATGATTTTCCAAAGATGATAGCTAGAGGCTCAGATACCTCCTCTATCAGATCCTTGAGTATTCTAGGATGCATTTCATCAGGCCCTGGAGACTTGCAGACATCTAACTTTTCTAAGTGATTTTTAACTTGTTCTTTTTTTATTTTATCTTCTAAGCCTACTCCCTTCCCACTAGTATTCACTATGTTAGGCATTCCTTTATCAGATTTCTCGGTGAAGACCAAAAGAAAGAAGTCATTTAGCATCTCTGCCATTTCCAGGTTTCCTATTACTGTTTCTCCCTCCTCACTAAGCAGTGAGCCTCATAGATACTATGGAATACCCAACTGGCAGCTATAACCATTGGGATTTTTTTCTCACATCCAATCGCGAGCAACTTCTTGCCAACAGCCTTCCCTTTAATCTACCAAAAGCACAATCACCAGTCAATCTGTACCTGTTGAGCTGGTATCTGAATCTTTCCTTGTTGTCAAAGAGGTCAATCTTTACTTCATAAGCCAGGGAGCATGGGGTAGGATGGGTGCTCCAGAACCACTAGTGACAATTCAATGTAGTCAATGGGAAGAATGTACCTGCTTGCAGATTTCTCAACAGTCCTGTGTTCAGAAAGATGCAAGCATCATGCACCTTCCTTGAACAACCATCAGGATATCAATGAAGCATCTCTAGTCAACCACCAATACTTGAACCACTACAGAAAAGTTGCCCTTTCTATTGCAGTAATATATGGGAAAGTATGCTGGTGCCAAAAGAGGAATGTGCATCCCATCTATTGCCTCACCATAGTTCAGGAACCCCACTGCTCTTAAATCTATCCTCTACATTCTACAGATTACTGAAGACACATTTCAATCGCAGGAGATAATTAATGGGCCTAAACACCTGTGTGACAGGAGACCCCAATAAGAATTTTCCAACACCAAAATGAATTCTCATTGACTAGTAGCAGTACAGCAACTCAAGCTTCCAGAGGGGGATTGCCACTCACTTCTCAATTGTCAATGCAGCTCTCATTCTGTGCCTATGTGCTAGAGGACTAGCATGAACTCAGCACACAGATCAAGAAATGTGACCTGACCAGGGGACAAGGAGGGACTGTCAGGGAGCTTCCCCCATGCAGACTGTGGCTGACCCCTAGTTTCTCTTATTCAGTCAGGCACCTCCTGCCCTGTTTCCATGCATCCCTGTACCTACTGTCCACATGTGCCCCTTAACTTCCACTCAGCCACAGACTCCATTCCCATTTGGCCCTCCACCCCCTCGCCATTTGTTTCTGAGCCTCCATTCATCCGTCCTCTTCTCCCTGTAGCTCTGCACCTCCTCTCTGCCCATGTGCCTCCACACCTATCTCCCCTCAAGTGGCCCTGAGGCTTCAGATTTTGCCTAAGTCTGTCTTCCCCCACTAGCTCTTATGAGCTCATCTGACTCCTCAGCAGCCCAACATGATCTGTCTCCACGTAGCCCTCTCTTGATATGGCCCAAAAGATGTTATGAAGAAGGCACTGCAGGCTCTTTCTCTTCCCTATCATAGCTGGGGTTAGCCAGGAGCACGCTTATGTATTCTAGCAGCACAGAACTCTCTGGTGGGCAAAAGGCAGAAATGCAGATGTCATCTTCTGCTAAGAGCTGCAGCTCTGTTCTAGTGCCACAGCACCTTCTGGTGGGCAAAATGTGGAATTGCAGCAACATTTCAACAAGCTTTTTTCTGTGCAAAAAAATTAAGAATATGCATGACTCACTACTTATACATGTGTGAAGTGGCACAGAATAATCTCAGGAGTACATGCTCAATATAATCCTACCAGTTCTCCCATGCACTTAAAACAGTGGTTTTCAAAGTGTGGTTGTTCTGCCGCCACCTTACAGGAGGTCTGGTACTCGAGATCAGCCTAGCCACACCCCCACGCAGTGGGGAGTCCGTGCTGACACTCCAGCCTTGTAGCCGCCATACTGCCGCAAGACGAGCATCAGCTCCAGCTTCCAGCACTGCAGTGATGTGCTGTCTGGAGGCTTTCCCCGCTGCTCCAATTGGCTGGCCTGCTCCTGCACCATCCCTTGCTCCTGTACCCTCACCTAACCAAACACCCCACCCTGCTCCAGCATCTCCCATTGCTCCTGCAGCCTCCCTCCTGGCCACACACTGCACCCTCCCTTGCTCTTGCTCCCTCCCCTCCAGCCAGAAACCCTATTCCCAGCCTGCTTCTGTACCCTACTTTCCAGCCAGACCTCGCACTCTCCCCAACTCCTAAACCCCAATCCTTATCCCACTCACTGCCAGCCCTGTTCCACATACTGAACCCCTCATTTTTGTCCTCCCCCCCCCTCGAGCCTATGCAGGGTCCACAAAATCCACTAACTCTGGAACCCCAGAAAAGTAAATCTGGCCTCTGGGAAGCCCTGAACCTCAGTACTCCCTGTCCTGTCCCCTCACCCCGTGGGGCTGGAGCACTAGAGGAGTGAAATGACTCAGTTGGGGGCCACATCAGAGAGGGTAAGGAGTTTCTGGAGGAGTTTTTTTGCTTCTCACTTGTGTGGTCCCCAACTAATTTTTCTGTGGCCCTTGACCCAAAAAAGATTCCCTGCCCCTACCATAAAAAAAAGAAAACATTCAAAACTTTTGTGTTAGACATAAATAAATGTGTTACTTTATTAAAAATTAAGTTTGATCAAATAACATGAGCATGTTAAAACACTTAATCTGTTTAATAAATTTAAATTAAACCATTGTATCTAGCTGCAGCACTAGCTAAATGGCTCCGGCGTAATTATGTAATTAATGCTGAGTTTCCATTAGCAACTGGTGGTCTGTGGAAAGGTTTGCATTGAGTCAGATGGGCCATGGGATAAAAAGTGTGAGAACCACTGCTTTAAGAACTCATAGGAAAAAAAAGGAGAGAGAAGACCTAAATTTCTTGTGTAGAAAAATGCAGAAACAGGCTTTAAAAAAATCTAGCTCTTTATACATCATAAAGAAGCAAAAGGTGCATAATTTCAAATTCTCTTTCCTTTGCAAGTTACCTTTAAGCTTTAGTGTGATCAATGGTATTTATTATTCATTAAATAATAAAAGAGAATGAAATTAATTTATCCTACACAGGAAATTAAATAGTTAACAAGAGACCGAAAGCAATTAGTAATCCTGGTAGCACCTGGAGGGCAGGCCAGGTACAACTGAATATGAAGTCTACCTGGGGAAGAAGCAGGGTGGTGTGCATAATGGGAGGAAGTCCAGCTAAGAAGAAGGTGGCCAAAGAAAAAAAAGACCTCTGTAGTCCGTCCTTGGCTACTAGAAAGATAGAAAGGCCTATAAAGAGATACAGTCAGTACAGAGAAAAATTATGGGAGAAAAGCCTAACAGAAATCCACAAAGGTAACAAGACGCCTGAAGTAGCAAAACATTAAGTGCTCACAACAGGGTCCTTAGACTGGAACCCAGAAGAGATGGAGAACCTTGGTTCCCTTTTGGTCCACTTAAATAGATGGTGGTGAAACATACTAACACAAAGGGAGGACAACTACTGTGATTGGAATGGGGACAAATTTGGCTTAAAATATGAAATAACTGGAAAAGGAATAGTAAAGAAAATACTATAATATACAGATAATTTATGACTCACATCGGCTTATGGTGCCTGCAAGAACTGGAATGTGGCCACTGTCTTTTCCTAGTTTAGATATCAAAACTTCACTCAGTTGATCGTAGCTGGTAAAATAAATTACTGTACCTGGAAGTGCCATTATTCTAAAATACAGAATCAAAGGAAATCTATCAATTCCCACAAAGAAAACTGAATGCCTCCAACATATTTTAGATCAGATATCAAATATAGATGTTTGAGAGTTAAATAAAAATGTATAAGCTTTTCAACTGTGGTATGCATGAAAGAAAACTCATAATGCCCATCTCATGCAATTCAAAAATACCCACCAAATCTGCATTAACCAACTGCATGGTAAATATGCATAAACACTGGGTTTCTCTTGAACTCAATTGTTTTAACAATCTGCCCTGATATATTATTCGGAGGTCTTATTAATACAAACATTTTTTTCCAAGTCCGATAGTTGCCAGATTCTGCCACCTTCATTCATGCTGCAAGGTATTACTCATCATGGATAAAGGTAGCACAATCTAGCCTTTAATGATTATGATGAACAACATTTCTCTAAAAGTCAATTTCTAACCAAACTGCATTTTATAGTGATGTATGTTAGGGTGGTAAAACTGTTAAAAACATAATACCAAATGGCTGTGTCTAGACTGGCCAGTTTTTCTGGAAAATCAGCTGCTTTTCTGGAAAAACTTGCCAGTTGTCTACACTTCCGCAAAAACACTGAAAAACTTGCCAGCTGTCTACACTGGCTGCTTGAATTTCCGCAAATACACTGACTTCCTACTGTTTGAAATCAGTGCTTCTTGTGGAAATACTATGCTGCTCCCGTTCGGGCAAAAGTCCTTTTGTGCAATAGCTTTTGCGCAAAAGGGCCAGTATAGACAGCTCAGATTTGTTTTGCACAAAAAAGCCCTGATCGCGAAAATGGCAATCGGGGCTTTTTTGCGCAAAAGCGCGTCTAGATTGGCTACGGATGCTTTTGCGCAAAAGTGCTTTTGCGGAAAAGCGTCCGTGCCAATCTAGACGCTCTTTTCCGAAAATGATTTTAATGGAAAACTTTTCCGTTAAAAGCATTTCCAGAAAATTATGTCAGTCTAGACGTAGCCAATTAGTTTTTCCTCCCAAAAAGCAAATATACAACTGCCTAAGTTAAAGGCTAACACTATATGCTGGAAAAGGACATTTAAAATGTTCCTCTTAATTTCAAATCTGAACTATTTAGATTTGGAAAAGTTTATTCTGAGGCAGATATGTACTGGAACACTAAAGGTATATCTGCATTGCAGTAAACACACACAGCTGGCTGATATCAGTTGGCTCAGGCTCATAGGGCTTGGACTTCAGAGCTATGAGATTGCAGTGTATATGTTCGGGGGGGTAGGATTCCCAAGCCATACTGTCTCCAGTGCAATTTTATACCCTTACCCACCAGCTGTGGAAGTATTATTATAGTGTAGACATACCATAAAATCTCCTTTGCTGGATAACTTGGGGGGTGGGAGGACAAGATCAAGCTATTTAGGTAGGTTTATTTCAGGGGTGTCCAAACTTTTTTCAACGAGGGCCAGATTTGATGAAGTGAACATGCGTGAGGGCCGACCATTTTGCCTGACATTCTTTGAACCATTAAAATTAAATGCAAATTAACTATTTTATGCAAAGTTTATTACAAACGGCATACTTTTCATTTCGTCACATGGATGACAAATCTAAACAGGTGTTAAATCACTCTGCCTTTCATATCTGAAGGCCAGATGAAAAAAAAAAATCCAGGAAGCTGAAATATATGTCAGGAACATTGTAAAGTACATTACATATTATTGGTAATAAAGGTTGTCTGTCAACTTTTAAGTTCAAAAAATATGAACAGGAACATAACACCAAGTATACATGTTGTGTCCAAATATATTTATAACTAATTTAGACCAACTGACTTTAACTGAGATTTTACAATGTATTCATCTCAATACATATGGATTCGTTGGGGGCCATAAAAGATAGATATTGCCAAATTACCTGGGGGGCCGTATTAACCCGGAACACGGGCCGCAATTGGCCCGCGGGCCGGACTTTGGACATGCCTGGTTTATTTTATGACTTGACTTAGGCACCTATCTCAGTGACACGTTCAGGGACAACCACATGCCCCTCTCCTTTGCATCTCTCATTGGCTAGATCAGGCAGCTCCCCTACCTAGCATGCTAGCTTTGTGGATGGCACTCTCAGGTGCTTCTCTTAACTGTAGAGGGCACAAAGTGCCTCACAGTGTCCCTGAGATTTTCTAACTTTTAGGTACCATAACTCTCAATGTCATAATGTCTAAGTCTCTTTGTGGATCTGGGCTCTATTTACTAAAATGAGATTTGTTACTCTCTTAGCTTCTAGATAGTGATTATTTTATCTTACTCAGCAAGGGTAACATTTGTGGATATTACTTCATGAAGAATGAAAATATTGGGATAAGCACATCTAAATTTTCCTATTCTTCAGCATATTAAGGACCACAGATCCTACAGCTGGATTTTATCAGTGTGTAAGCAGATGAAACAATTTAGTCCATCATAAAACAGAACTTGAAATAAATATGCATATAATCTTTTTCTTGACTGAGTTATTATATCATGTAACACCACTGCCTCCAAACAACACTAAATGAGGTTTACAAGTCAGCTTTGATATATTTACTGAAGAAATGCATGTAGCACAATCTGGCCTTTAATGATTATGATTATGCCACCCAAAAGGAAGCATAGCCTGAGTGCCGAAGAAAAATTCTTTGCCTTGTTTGGCTCAAGTACCTGATCAGATAGATATTTATGACTTTCAAGCCTTGAAATAGCCAGGTGCTTGAGCACAAGCTTTCATTAATCAGAGATTCACTTTTGTCTTTATATTTATGTGCTAGGTGTATACTAAAGGCATACTTAGTGCTACTGCTTAGGTCAGAATGATTGTAGTACTATGTTCTGTGATGTGTATAGGTTATGGAGTTGGCTTTAAGGATTAACAATAGGTTTGTCTTGAGAGCTGCTTTCTTGTAATGAAAAATGCAATACTGATACTCTGAATATAAACTAGGGATGTAAAATTTTGATTAATTAGCTAATCGAATAGTCGATGCGGGCGCCTCTGTCTTTGAAGTGTAGCAACAGCCCCAGGGCCACTGTTACACTTCAAAGGCAAAACCGCTGCTGGGAGCACAGGGCCTATTGGGGACTCAATTAGTCCCCCTGCTGGCCCCATGCTCCCTGCAACGTTTCAAAGCGGTAACACTGCATGGAGCCCGAGGTCAGCTGGGGACTCTGAGTCCCCTCAGGCTTCCTGCAGCGTTTCAAAGCAGCAGTGCCTCATAGAGCCCAGGGTCTGGCCCAGGGCTCCACGTGGCAGTGCTGTTTTGAAGCACTTCCTTCTCTTCCCCACTCTTGCTGCCAGAGGCGGATGAGAGTTTTGCGGGGCCCAGGGCCTACTGAAGTGCAGGGCCCGGGACAGCCACCCTGCCCTATATCTGCCGCTGCTTGCTGCTTCTTTCTGATAGAGTCAGCAAGGAGAGGAGGGAAAGCAACTAGTCGACCAGTGTGTCAACTATTCAGTAAGCATTTACTTATCGGATAATCGACTAGTCATTCACATCCCTACTGTAGATAGAGTTCTTGAGCCCAGAGTCACAAAGATAGTTGAGCCCTTAACCTCCACTTATTTCAGTGGAAGTTAGAATTTTTCAGTATCTTTATGGATCTTTGCCTCAATTCCTATTCTTGCCAGGATGACATGATGCTATCAGGAAAGCACCTGACAGAGAGTGAACAATTACATTGCATTTGAGAGTGAGAAAAGTATTAGCATAAAAATTAGCATAAAGGTTTGGTGTTCCTGCCCAGCTTCTGAGGATGCATCAAAGCGGGTGCATGAAGAAACTTCTTTATCTGGCTAAAGTTATATTCTTGCCTCTGAATGTTTCCAGTACACTAGATGTAACTGATAAGTTAACTCAGGAAACTTGTAAATTGTCAAAAATTAAATATTTAAGAATAAGCATACTCAGTGGTCAAAATAATGAAGTATAACTCCCTTCTAAAACAAGTTATGGAAGATATGAAATTTCAACTTACAATGTTGGGGGAAGTCCACTCCACAATGATTTAATACCCTCTATTTTAACAATTTTCATGAATGCATCCTAAAATAATAACCAAATGCAGTTGATTAGTTAACTATTTAACTCTCGAATTCATATAACAATTATTTTGGGGGGAAGAGATGGAATTTAAAATACACTGCATGAAAAAGTAATACTTAAAATTGTTTGTCTCACTAAGGTTACAATCCTATAAACACTTATGCACAAAATTAACTTTAAGCAATACTTGCTCCTTGGCTTATTCAGTACTTGACCTCTAATAGCAAGAATGACTATGGCTGCCAATTAAAATGGTGGTGTATACATCTCCAAAAAAGTCCAATATAATCTATGTGTTTGAGCTAGTTTCATCTGAGTCACCAGTCATCATAGGATGAAGATTTTATATCACTACCTACCTGTACTCTATTTGAATAAATGCCCTTTTGGTTATACCATCAAATATAAATAATCATTTCCTTGGGGGAAATAAACTAGGACAGTTTCACTGTCTGATTTACACCAGCTAAGGATCTGGCAAACATTTGTATTGCTAATAGGGTTGCCAAGTGTCCGTTTTTTTCCTGGACAGTCCGGTATTTGTGGCCCGTCTGATAAAAAAAACCAGAAAATGTCTGGAATTTTCTGTTTTTTTCCCTTTTTCCTTGCTGCATCTGGTGGGAGGATGCGGGGGGAGGGGGATTTAAAGGCGCAGTGTCCTTTTTTTTTTTTGCTCAACAAGTTTGTTCCCCTGATTTTTTGGTGGGGGCTCAACCAATATTTTCCATTGCCATGTTCAGGATTTTTTTGTGAAAGTATCTGGCAACCCTACTAACTAATATACTTTTTTTGTGATGTGATGCAAGCAAGACAATTAGTGTACTCTGGAATAGTGGTTGAAGCATGAAGGAAAATATGAATCCTTCGAGTACCTGGTATTTAAATATCTTACAACGCTGGCTACGACAGTGCCATGTAAATACTTGCTCTCCCTTTCAGGTCACATCGTGAACAAGAAGCAGACACAATTAACTCCTGCAAATGTAATCAAACTTATTTGTCTGAATAAGAAATAGGAATGAGTGGACTAATAGGCTCTAAGGTTTTACATTGTTTTCTCTCTATATCTATAAAAAAAGTTTCCTGTGGGACAACAGTGATGTCATCACATCACTCTATGTCCCACAGGCTCCGCCCTCGCATGGCCTCCCTGTCTCAGACACTGTTCGGGGACAACCTGACAGCCAAGACACCTGACAGCCGGGCCTGGGCAGATTTCGCCTCTCAAAAGGCTGTGGCCAGAGCTGCCAGGCCGGTCCCCCGACAGCATCCAGGTCAGGGATAAGGATGTTAAAGACTAGTCCACTATCCGACAAGAAACTGCTCATCAGATAGTCAGTTTACTCAGCGCCACAGGGCTGATCCTGGGCTCTGTGCGGTGCTGCCCCTTTGAAATGCCACAGCAGCATTTCAAAGCAGCAGCGCTGTGTGGAGCCCAGGGTCAGCTGGGGGCTCCCTAGCTGACCCCAGGCACCATGCGGCCTTTCCGCGGCACCCGGAGTCAGCTGGGGAGTTCCCGGCTGACCCCAGTTTCCATGGAAATGCCGCGCAGAGCCCAGGATCAGCTGGGGAGTCCCGAGCTGACCCCGGTTCCGCATGGCATTTCAAAACAGCAGCGCTGCATGGAGCCTGGGGTCGGTGAGGGATTCTGAGTCCCCCGCTGACCCCGGGCTCCATGTGGGCACTTCTGCTTTGAAATGCACAAGAGCCCCTGCTGGAGACTCTTGCACATTTCAAAGCTGGCACGCCCTCATGCAGCCCAGAGTCAGTGGGACTTCCCGCTGGTCTCCGGCCGCACGCGGTGCCTATCGACTAGTCGATGGAAATTCCATTGACTACTCAACTAGTAAACTAACCACAATTCAACATCCTTAGTCAGGGAGCAATTTCATCCAGGGTCTGGGTGCCACTTCGGATCAGCCTGCCACAGGGCACAGGACTGCGGTGGTGCTGCTGCCATTGCTCACAGGGTAGACTCCAGGTAAAGGCTCTGGGGCGGTTGGATCTGGGGACATTTGGGACCTTCTCAGAAGCCAGAGGGCCTAAGGTACCATATGGGAGCAAGTCCACAGGGGAAGTGACGTGGGGACTGAGGGGAGGCACTGGCTGCACACCTGGCTGGTCTTGGTGGCCCCCTGCTTAGGGGAAGCAACCACTGCACCTGTCCCCTTCTGGTGGTTGGCTGTGGTACGCGACCACATGAGGTGGGCTGAGCTTTGGCTCACTGCCCAGGGATGAGGGCTGCAAGGTCGTGCTTCTCCCAGGCAGGGGTTCTCAGTCCCTCGGCTCAGGGGGCTGCTTCAGTTGGTGCGAGGCCTGGGGTGTGATCCACTCACACCAGGAATGGAGACAGGCACTGCGCCCCACGTCCCCAGCTGCCCACCACCCCATCCTCTGCCATGCCCCGAGTGGCCACATCCTGAGCCCAGCACCAAGCTGTCTCAGAGGAATCCACTGCTGCAGCCTGGCAACCCCTAAGGTGTCACAAAAAGGAGGCCCGACAGCATTTACGGTGGCTGCCAACAAGGCAGATTGGGGGCAGGATAACTAGGGGGCGGACACCTGCCTCTGTATGGTGGCACCCAGAGACCTCCCTCACTGCATGGCCCCCCAGCCCTCTTTCCATCCTCCATGTGTGTCCTCAGCCCCTCTCCTGCCCCCTCACAGACTCCCATCCCCCCTTCTCAACGTGGCATCCCAAAGGAATCCCCGCTCTCTGCCCCTCCCTCCAGCCTCTTTCTCTGCCTTCTTTCCATTTCCTCTGCCCACAGACATCCCCCCTTTCTGCTTCCCCACACCCCAACAATGCCACCTTTGCTGCCCCTTCTCTCCAGGAAGCTGTCCAAATCCTGCTGTCATAGCACCTGGAGCAGCCCACCCCCGAAATTCCTGAATATGGGCCTGGTGCTGTTTCTTTGCTGGTTAGGTTGCCTGTTTATGGGAGGGGGCAGGGTGTGCATAGGGAGGGAGTAAAGGGGATAAGAGTGTATGTGGGGATAGGTGGTGCGGTAAGGGGGGATAGTGGGGGTGAAGGGGATATAGGAATGGAGGCAGGGGGATCGGCAGTGTGGGGGTGTGGAGAAAGAGGGGTTAGGGAAGAATGGAGATGAAGGAATATGAAGGAAGAAGGTGGGGCTAGGGATAGGCAGTGTAGGGTAGGGAGGATGGATAGGCATAGTAATGGAGGTGGGTTAGGGATGGAAGAAGAAGGATGGGCAGGGTGGGGAGGGCTTAGGAAGGATGGTGGGTGTAGGATAGGTGGGAAGAGAATGGGGGTGTAAGAATGGAGGACAGAGGTGAGGCTAGGGATGGAAGAAGGGTGGGCTGTGAGCCATGGACTATTTTGTTAGTGGGTGGAACAGAAGCAGGAGGGGTAGAGGTAGGGGGGACTGGCTGGTGATTGAAGGGCACGAACGGGTGGGAATAGGCCGAGAGCATTCAGATAGAGGGGAGTGTCCAGGGATTTGGTGGGCGGGAGTGGAGAAGGGTGTGAGTGACTTGGAGTCATGGAGAACGCAGGTGGACTCAGTGCAAGATTAAAAGGGAGCTGACAGCTTGGAGACTGTATAGAGGCTTGGAGGCAGGGAGCCCAGCCAGGACTGGCAGTGGAGCCCTGTGGCTGGGGCCGACAGAAGGATTGGAAACTGTGAAAGAAGCCCAGCTATGAGGCCAGCACCCCCTGGGGTGATCCCAGAGCTGACAGCAAAGGAGTCAGACTCTCTCATTTGGGACTGGTCAGGTCCCGGGGTGCCAGAGAAGAGAAGTTCAACTTGTATTGTATTAGGTGAATTGAAAAAAATATTATTTCTTATTTTTTACAGTGCAAATATTTGAAATAAAAAATAAAGTGAGCACTGTGCACTTTGTATTCTGTGTTGTATCTGAAATCAATATTTGAAAATGTAGAAATCATCCATAAATAATGTTATTCTATTATTAACACTGCAATTAATCAAAATTATTTTATCACTTGCCAACCCTAATAAAAATAATAAGCTTGGCATCCATCCATTCATTCATTCTAGAGTTGAAGTATAATTAAAAAAAAGAAAGAAAAAAAAAAGGAAAACTATGGAAGCTACCTAGTACTGTTTTCTATCTACATTTAAAGTTGTAGCTTGGGTCCTTCTGCAGACCAATTAACTAAGTTGCAAGAACCAACCCTGCAATCTGACCTCATAGACTCATAGACTTCAAGGTCAGATGGGACCATTATGATCATCTAGTCTGACCCCCTGCACAGTACAGGCCACAGAATCTCACCCACCCCTCCTAGAATAATCCTCTCACCTATATCTCAGATATTGAAGCCTTCAAATACTTTGAAGACCCCAAGATGCAGAGATCCTCCAGCTGTGATCTGTACCCCATGCTACAGAGGAAGGCGAAAAACCTCCAGGGCCTCTGCCAATCTACCCTGGAGGAAAATTCCTTCCCGACCCCAAATATGGCGATCAGCTAAACCCTGAGCATGTGGGCAAGACTCACCAGCCAGACACCCAGAAAGTTCTCTATAATAACTCCTATCATCCCTCCATTGACCTATTTCCCACTGATAATGAATGGTCAATTAGTTACCAAGATCATGTTATCTCATCAAACCATCCCCTTCATAAACCCATCTAGTTTAATCTTGAAACCAGATAGATCTTTTGCCCCCACTACTTCCTTTGGAAGGCTGTTCCAGAACTTCACTTCTCTAATGGTTAGAAACCTTCGTCTAATCTCAAGTCTAAACTTCCTACTAGCCACCTTATATCCATTTGTTCTTGTGTCCATATTGGTATTAAGCTTAAATAATTCCTCTCCCTCCCTGCTTTTATCCCTCTAAAATATTTAAACAGTGCAATCATGTCCCCCCTCAGCCTTCTTTTGGTTAAAGTAAACAAGCCAAGCTCCTTGAGTCTCCTTTCATAAGACAGGTTTTCCATTCCTCGGATCATCCTAGTGGCCCTTCTTTGTACCTGTTCCAGTTTGAATTCATCCTTCTTAAACATGGG